ACTGCAGCATGCATGCTTCTTAATTTACGCCTAATTGGTAAGTCCCGGATTCACAGGTAGTTTGGTGGGAACATTTTTTACCTGAGTGCGTTGTTCAACTCACTTGCCGGTGATTAGAGGTATTCATTCGGCTCCCTCCAAGAAGTAACTTTTGATATGACCTACCCGTTTATATTAACAGAATGACGTGCAATTCTTATGTATCAGTCCGTTTTCTGATGAATTCCTTGGGTGTCCAACCTGGTGATACTAATATAAAATTGCTGGTCGAAGCAAAATGTATTGCGTTTTATTTCTGGCTGCGCTTGAGTAAAACCCGGAGTTTCACCATATGCGAAATTGTTTTTCTATCAATCTGGTAGGAATCATTCCTGTTTGGAGTCAAGATCACTCAATAGTGCTCGCTCCAACCCTTTACTGCGTGTTATAAAGCGACCTCCAGTCACTTTTGATACTAATTGTAACTGGTTTGATACATTATCTGATGCTGAGTGAATATATCGGTTTTCACCATATCCGTCTGCAATTTTCATTCTTGGATTTGACACTGCCGGTCAACTCGAAAAGAAACAGGGTGGCTTCACAAATGTTGTGCTGATGGTGCTCTGAATGGTGAGGTGTATCGAGACACACACACGACAAGTACTATTCGGTATCTCCGCCTATCGGTTCGCACGACGGTAATTCAGCCGACGCAGCCAGTGTCTGGAAATGATCCATCCTACCAGCTTCGAGAATCGCACTAGACGAAACGACTGTTTGGCGTACAAGCCAAAAATACAATATATAGTGTCGATAAGGTGTCCCTGTTGGTAGTTCAGATTCCCATTCGAGTACGCATGAAGCGGATTATTCCAGCCCATCGTAATTATTGAAGTTCACCGTCTGGTTGTCACCAGCAGTCAACAGTTCCTCAGTGAAAGTGTCGCCCGTGGTCTCATTGATTCATTCATGTGAAACGAATGCTGGCTGACTGAAGAACAATTAATTAATAACTCTCTCCTTGTAGGCCCAGCTGAAGTTCACTGGTTGTCACCAGCAGTCAACAGTTCCTCAGTGAAAGTGTCGCCCGTGGTCTCATTGATTCATTCATGTGAAACGAATGCATGCTGACTGAAGAACAATTAATTAATAACTCTCTCCTTGTAGGCCCAGCACCTAGGACTGATGACTCCGTTCGTCATGCATCGGTTTTGCGTGCAGCATCTGCTCGTCACATGGTGCCGATATCTTCAGGAATCTCCAAATCAGTCCTCAAGCCTCGACACCCAGTCTATCTGGCCGCGTTCACTGTCCTCATTTTGAAGCAAGCAGGACAACAAGCTGCTCTTGCACTCACACTGGACTCGCTTGGCATCAATGTGTGCTGTCTCAGAAACAAGAATTCAAGATGCAAGCACAGTGGTTGAGTTAACCGCCCCGTCAGTCTCCACTCGCTTCCGGCTACGCACCTCTGGTGATCCAGAGGCTGCTGCGGTGGGATGTGCAGGGGTTGGTATTGTGCTAAGTCACCGGGCGGAAGTATCCTTACTTGACTGGATACCTGTTGATAGTCGCCTATGTGCGGTTCGCCTGGCGACGTCTGTGAAGGAGTCTCACAAGCGGCAAGTTGATAGATGTCTGTTTATCGTGTCTGCCTATGCCCCAACTGA